GAAAATTTTCATCTCCGGTCTTCAAGGTCTTACTTCTTCACATGAAACACAAGGACAGATCTGAGTTTTCGCTAATGCCCACAACTTAACCTGAAACAAAAGCAGAAGACCACCACATTACTAACCCAAAATAAGAACCAAAGCCATGAGATAGGTAGGTAGAAGGGACCCCGAGGCTCAGAACCATGCTTATGCAGGAAAAAACTGACAATAACGGTCTCTGCATTTCCCACAGGCCAGGAAACATCAAGATTTTTAGCTATTTCCCCCCCTGCCTGGGAATTCCACCCACTACTCCCTCCTGTCAAGACAAAGCCTTCAGCCTTTGAAATCACAACCACTGTACACAGCTCTGAGTATTAACACACCCCAGAGTCCTATATGCTTTTAAAAGCCCCCCCCATTTCCACCCCCAACAAGGCAGGTTTCAAATTGCAGTCTCTGAGGAGGAGGAAGATCTCCAGTGAGTAAATGTCACCAAACTCAATCAAAGGGGTTGCAAGTTAGGCTTGCTCATGAAACTTAAAATCCTTCAAGCCATGGGGTAAGCCTGAGGAATCCCTTTGAGTTTCTAACAAATGAAAAAAAGGAGAACCCTTTTCAACCACATCCTTTATTACTTATAGTAACTTTCAATTCAACAAGTCCCTTTTCTAGATTCCCCTTGACGGTAAATGTCACTGTTTTTTTTTTTCCTTTCAGTTTTTGGGCCACGTGAACAATGGTCAGGGATTACTCCTGGCCCTGCACTCAGGAATTACTCCTGGTGCTCAGGGGACCACATGGGATGCCAGGTATCCAAGCTGGGTCCACTGTGTGCTAGGCAAGCGCCCTACCCACTGTACTATCTCTCTGGCCCCTGTAAATGTCACTTTTAAAATAATCCTAGGCCGCTTTGAACAACCTCCTTCTGCTCTTCCCAACTAAGAGAACTTCAGGGCTTTTGCAGGTGCAGAGAAGTGGGCCAGGTGCATTGTTAAGACACAAAGCCCCAGTACTCGCTCACATTCCTGTCCACCCAGGAGGGGACATTCTGCACCAAGGCAACACCTCTGCAGACTGGGAGAGAGGCCCTTTCATTTGAGCATGGTGTCTGAGAGGGAGAAAGGTCAGCCAGAGGCCACCACGAAATGTTCAGGGACGGCCGCAGAGGGGAGGCAGGCACAGGAACGCATGGTTGAGAGAGGGAATGGAGCACCGGGACGTCCACTCAGAGCCAGCCCGCATCACTCTGGGCTAAACTGTCTTCAAGCTTTTGAAAGATGCTCCCCAAAAAAGTCAACAATATATTCAAAAGGTTGAGCGAAGATGAAATCTACAATTCCAAATGTGATTAAGGAATGAGGTAAGCACACTTCTCGTTAAACAGTCCTTTTCAAGGAGACAAGAACAGCTCTGATACATCATCAAGGCTGAGGGGGGGTGGGGGGGTATGGTATGCCCACGTATTCATTTATAATAGGTCAGGGGGTGAGGTAGGGCTCGGGGCATTTTCTAATTTCACAGTACTCAAGAGTCAGATTTTATCTTCATAATTTTATATCCGCAAGTGTAGTGTGCCTTTCACCCACAAAAACTCATTTTGCCAGAGACTTCCCTTGCCCAAAACAGGCAGCAGAGAATGAGTTACCAACAAATAAATGCTCCATCATCACAGCAGGTCCGAGGGCTGCAGAAACAGGCTCCTGAGACTTGTGGCAAAGAAAGGGACTGAGCTCAAGCTCCCTAAAACACCAAAAGCACTCGCATCTTCACACACTTTGCCCATCCCCATAAACCCGAAGCTGTTCCAGGTCCACTGACTTTTCCCGGAAGTAACAGAGAAACACAAAAAAGGACAAGAAAAAGGAGATAAGAACTCAGGTTAGTACAGGCAATAATTTGCTTCACAAGAACTCATTCTGAGGTTTTGCAGCAACTTAGTCATCTGCACTTTAGATCGAATTTGCATAAACAGGATGGGAAGTATTTTCCAAACCCTTAATTCACTACACCCTGCATGCACACCTGGGCCTTGAAGCACAGCTGTAAAATCTGAAAGACAATGGCCCTTTTAGCTTCACCACTGCAATGGCAACCAGACATTGTTTATTTTCTATTGTAGTAAAAAAACAGTAACTTGCCAAAACCCTCAAGGTTCCATTTCAGCCACCCAGTACCAATCTGCAAACACATAAACAGACATACAGACGTAGACTCAAATCGAGATATGTGTGTTTCTTAACGGTCCGGATCACCACATTTGGTGATCACAGAAGTGAATGCCCTTAATTTTGAATGACATGCTATCTTCCCTCTGAGAACAAGAATCAGGGTTTATACTTTCTCCCGAGTCTGCCTGCCTTCCGACCACAATCCCACCAAGGTCATCACTTGGCTCCTAGAATGTTTAAGCTAGCAACATGCCTCTCTCAACTTAAAGCCACCAATAAGAGTCAAAGGTAAACTGTATTTAATACTTCTTAAAGGGCTTCTATGCGCTCAAGAACAATTTCAAGAAAAGCAAGTATCTGAGTTCTAAGAAATTCAACTTCGTTCTAAGTTTCTGGGAAGTTGGGACAAGGCTTGGCAGTGCTTGGTGCTATTTATGAATCGCTGGTTGGACTATGCCAATCACACCTACGTAATGGGATGGCAAACTCAATTATGGCTTGAATAGTACAACTCTTAAGTTATTGTGCTGAACAACCTCGGTCTCCAGGAAAGAACATGGTTTTCCCTCAATCCGCTCCACAACATGTCTTATATTCAGAACTTCATTTACAGTCACTATTAAAATGACTTTCCTTATGTTAGGCCTAGAAGCAAAATGAGATGACTGTCTACAAAAGCCAAGAGAAAAAAAGAAGAAGAAAGTTCCAGAAAGCCACAGGTCCCCTTCTATCTCAAACCCTCAGCTGAAATTGTTTGAACTAGCTGCAGTAAATCTAGTTCATGGGGTTATAAACTAGCTCAAAGCATTTTCTAGTCACAGTGGATCAGAGGGTATAAGCTTGGTGAAACTACAAAGTATTTTATAATATTATACGCTGGGATTTTCTCTCCCCAAGTCTTGCTAAATCATGGCAAAGAATATAAACTCTATACACATCCTGCTGGAAAACTGAAGCAAAATATAAAATCTAGGGGAGAACATTTGCTTGATTTTACATTAGCAAAAAAAAATCATTTCACAGATATTTTTTAAAAGACATTCATTTTCCACTGAACTTCTTACTGCTGCAATACGAGCCAGAAATCTCACTTCTTAGGTCAATCAGCATCACAATCAATATAACCAAATTCACTGAAAGCAAAATACCCAGCCCATTTTGGTGCTGCTCTCCATGCAAAGACTGCAGTTCGAAAGGTGTTCATGTATCATCGAATGCCACTCCTCTCCCAGGCAACAGAAAACCCAAAAACACAAATAGTTTTACCCCTGAAACTGCAGGCAAAGTGGATCTTGTGACCATAGTCATGTGCAAATAAGAGGACACTCTGTGCACTTCTAAGTCACTCTTCCAACAGGTAAACACTTAAATTTGTTCTAACTGTTCACATGATTTCACTGCTTAAAAAAAAAAAAAGCACCAAGCACCTTCAAGAATATGTTAAGGAAAGCCAAGATAACCCAAACTGCTTCACTACATAAAATATTACCAAGGCGATGTCAGCACTCTCTCCCGGGATTTAACAGAAATGCCTGTGACAATATTCACACCACGATCATCAGTTTTCACTAAATCAGTCAACTCTACAGAAGAACACGGAAGAAAAGAATATGCAGTTAAATGAGCCAGCTTCAGAACACAATGGCACTCAATAATTAAGCAATTTGCAACAGCAGTCCAAGTTAAAGGCCTGTGCCCTATCTTCAAAGGTAGAATTTCTTCACATTAGAAAGCAGTTAAGTTTCTGAGCAGCCAGATACCCAGACCATATTTTCTTAGATCAGGCCACAGGTGTTGGTTAAAACCTGTGTCACCAGTTTTCTTTCTCTTCTTCAAGCTGTCAATGTCATGCCTGAGGAAACAGTGCCGCGTCTAATGCTCCAGGAAAGTTCTCCAATTATTCAAGTGAAAAGCAGAGTGCTCACCTCGGGCCTTTTCTGGCAGGTACTGATAGTTTTAAAGAGATGCTGATTACGGGTAGCTGTACACTGTTTTGTCTCATGGACCAAACTTTGCACAAGCAGAAGTAGGCTGTTTATGTCCTACCACATTTACAACGGTCTTGTTTTCCCCACTTGGTCCGAGAAGCAGCGGCCCCCAGAGTCCAGAGCCCAAAATCTGACAGCACCGGAAAGAAACTCCCTTGGGTGACACGCGCTGCCGGCGTCCCCCAGCCCCCGGGCCCCCTCTCCGGAGGGAGTCTGGAGGCTGAGCTGCCCCACCGCACGGGACAGCACGCCCCGAGGGAGGCCCCGGTCGGAGAGGCCGGGTCGAGAAGGCCGGGCGGAAGAGGCGACGCTCGGCAGTCGCGGACGTCCAGGACCCGGCCGGAGAGGGGGCGCGGGGGAGCGGCCTCCGGTCCCCGCCGGGGTCCCCGGGGCCTGGACGCACGCGCCCTCGTCGACAACGTCATCGCAGACCCAAGGCGAGGGTCGCCCTCGTTCACGCGCACCGGGAGGCCCGGGGGCCCAGACCCTCCAGAACCGTGTCTCGGGAGGGGGGCGCGGGGAAACGGCGGGAGCACCGACCGCGGGCACCCCCGCCCTCCACGCTTCCCTCCCGACTCCTTCCCGCGCGGCGGGGCGCACCCGCCTCGGGGGCCCTCGCCCACACCCCTGCCCCTTCAGACCCGCGGGCCCGCCCCCAGACGGCCCTTTGCCCTCGCCGACCGCGCGACCCGCGCCCCGTCCAGGCGCCCCGGGGTCCGGACCGCCCCCGCCCGAGCGCACCTCCCGCTGCCGCCCGACGGCGGCGCCCACCCCCACCCCGCACGCCCGGAGAGCCCCCGCCGCCCGCCCCCGAGCGACAGCGTCCCGCGGGCGCGGCGAGCGCGGGCGCGGCACTCACAGGCTCCGCGTCCAGGCGGGCAGGTCCCCGGGCACGGCCGTCAGCCCGCGCCCGCCACAGCGCAGCGCGTCGCCGGCGCAAGTGCAGGCGGCGGGGCAGGGCGCCCGCGGGCCGGCCGCGGCCGTCGGCGTGTCGGGCTGCAGCAGCAGCAGCAGCAGCAGCAGCAGCGGCAGCGGCGGCGGCGGCGGCGGCGGCGGCGGCGGCGGCGGCGGCGCGACCGGGCGGCGCGGGGCCCCGAGCGCTCCCCGGGCCGGCCGCGCCATCTTGTCTGCGACGTCCGCGCGCGGGGGCGACGGGGTCCGCGGCGGGGGCGGGGGCCCCGGGCGCTAGGCTCCGCGCCGGGGCATGCCGGCCCGCACGCGCCCCTCTCCGCGGCGGCGGCTCTAAGCGCTCGGCGGGGGCCCCGGGGGCCGGGCGGCTCCGCAGCGCCCGGAGGGGGCCGCCAGCCCCGCGCCCATCCGGGCTGAGCCGCCCGAGCGCGCCGCGCACGCGACCCCGACGGCCCCGGACGCGGAGAGCTCGGCCGGGGCTCGCGCCCCCCGCGTCCGCCCGCGCGCTCCGGGAAGGCGCTCAGCCGCTCCGCCCGAGCGCGGCGCCCGCGGGCATCCTCCGCCGCCGCCTCCCGCGCGCGGCCCGGTGCGCCCAGCCGCAGACCCGGCCGGCCCGACGGCGCGGCCAACCCCGCGCGCTGGCTGTCCGGCTCTCTCCGCTCGGCGCCTCGGCGCGGACACCAGCCCGCGAGCGCGCGGCCGAACAATCAGCCGCCCGCCCGCCGCCCGGCCCGGCCGCTCCCGCAGGCCCCGCCCCCGGCCGCCCGCCCTCGCCCTCACACACACGCACACGCACACACACCCCCGGGTTCCGCGCCCCGCGGCCTCCGGCCGGCCCGCGTTGGAGGCGGTGCGACAGGGCTGCGCCACGCCCACCCGCCGCCGCCTGCTGTTCATTGGCTTGCGGGGCCCCGGCCTTGCAGGCTATTGGTGCGCTCGCCGTGATCCCGCCCACCCCGCCTCTCAGGCCACCCCGCCCCGCTCGCTTTTTCCCACCCAAGGTGTGAAGGGCGGGGACGGGGAGGAGGAAGGAGGAGCCGGTCTCTGCTCTTAAAGGGGACGTGCTGGCTGCTGCGGCGCCGCCGGTGCTCAGAGGCTGCGGCGAGAGAGAAAGTTGGTTGAGCTGTTGGACGTGGATGGGGGCAAGCCGACGTCGTAATGGGTCTGTTGGAACATTATATACCTGAAACGTAACCATGAATAACTTTGCAAACGAGGGTGCCTTACTTTAAAAAGATTGATTTTTAAAAGTTGGTGAACAGCTTCACCCCTCCTTGGAGCTGTCTGTCTGTCCCATGGTTTATTCCCTCCTCGCCTGTCTACAATGAGGGCCAAGGATTTGGAGCGAACATGCCCTCTTTTTCCAGGTGCCTTCCAAGAGCAAAGACAGAAACATAGAACTACGGACATTTCCCTGGGGCAAGGTTTTATTTAGCTATTTTGTTATCGATGACCCCTTTCTTCTCAACCTTGACTTTTCTGCTTCTCACTTTCTCCGGAACCCTTCGGTGCAGTATTATGTCTTGATCACCATTTAATGAGTATAAACTGCAGAAAGGAGTCTCAATGATGCACACAATCACATCCTAACACATGCCCCTATTAATTGTACTTCTGGAAATGCTCCAGCCTTGGATAAACTGGTGTGCTGTTTGTTTAGATCAGGGACATTTAAAGCCTGTTTTCAAGAAGCCAAAGATAAACTAGTGTTTTTTTAAAGAAGAGAAATAGCAATGGTTACAAGCTTTTGATTGTTTCTCTTACAGGTCTGGCTATAGCAGCCATGTGTCATGACAGTGCATGGAAACCGCAAGTCAGAGGCACGCATGCCTTGTTGAGAAGAGAAAAGATTAGCACAGTAATTTATAACGCCCCTCTGAGTGTTTTGATCTGCCAGTATCTTGTGTCTTTTTGAAGAGTAGGCAAGTTTCTAACATAACTGCACACACTGTCAGGAAAATTAAGCAAGTCTGTAAAAAATAAATAAATAAATAAAAATTGCTCCAGCAAATTACATGGGGCTTGTTTTGGTTTTGTTTCTGTTTTTTATGGAAACAGGGGGGAAATACTTTTCAATAAGAAATAGCTTTTAAAATGTTTTTAATTGTGTTCCATTTTGGACATGTTCTAAGTTCTTTTTTAATTGAAATGCACATAATTAAGCTGCACTGACTCTGTGAAGGTTTTCCTCAGTCAGAAAAGATCACTTGTTTGGTTTTGGTTTCCCTTGTTTAACTTTCTAAACCAAAATTGGGTTTGAGTTTGGCAATCAAGTGGTAGGTTGCTGGTTTCCTTTTTGGTTCCTACCCGCCTTTCTTCCCCTTTCTTCTGATTCATGGTGTACTCAGATAAAGATGCCTCATTTCTCTGTCTCCCTCTCTGTGTATGATCTCAATAGTGATGCTCAGAGCTGTGTCCAAATATGTGTGGAAATCAATCCAAATATGATTACCAAGAAACGTTATCAGAAAGATGCTCCACCTGGAACATTCTACCAGGATTTTAACCAGCTTTTATGTTTCATCTGTAATCCACATAAACACATACCCTGCAGCTGGAAAAGAAGAAATACATGTTTTACAAAATGTAAAAAAATAAATAATAACAATAATAATAATACATGGTTAGAATATATAGGGCTTCGTGAAGTCCTCTATCAGTATTTCTTAACTTTTTTTTAAGTTGAAAGAACATAAACCAGTAATGTAATACAAAATACCCAGGAACATTTTCTTTTGTTTGTTTGTTTGGTTGGTTTTATTTGGGGGGAGGCCTCCCAAGCAATGTTCATTGGGAACACTGCTAGCGACACTTGGCCAACTGGGCAGAATGGCCACAAGCTCTAGCCCTGCAGTGCAGTGTGGCTTGGACCCATTGGTGCTCAGAGCCAGTGGACATTTTCTCAACCCAAAATGTTTTGTCTTTCTTGCCCTGCGGCCACCCTCGTCCCAATGAAATACAACTGCAGCGAACATAAATCGAACCTCTCAAACTGCTGGTCTGGATTTTTCACTAAGGCCCGTTGCATTATTAGTGTTGATGAATGAGTATTTGTTATCAAATGTTTTCCAAATGCTGGTGAGGGTACCTCTGGGAACACATGAGTTTTGAAGGACAGGGTATGAGAATTTACAAGGTAAGGGTATACCCACAAATCTAAAGCATCCCCTGTGGTCTGGTTACCCTGCGGCCAAAGAGAAGGATTCCAAAATCCAAGAGCAATTGAGGGGGACTGGGCACCGAGCCTTGGCAGTCCCGCTTGTCTACAGCAGAGCATGAAGTCATGTCTGCTCCCCATACCATGTATGGAAGTTTGCCCACATACTAGCAACCTGCCTGTGATTGAAAGGAGAATGTGGGCCTGGAGGGGAGCGGCAACGCCAGGCTCGAGAGAGAATTCATCTGGAGCCATGGCTAAGATCAGAGCAACCTAACTAATAGCAAGAGCATGTTTCTAAGTGTTGGGGGGTGGGAGGGGGAAATGGGGGGCGGGGAAGCAGGGGGTGGGGCAGGGAGATGGGAATCTATGCTTACGAAAGAGCAAGCCCTTTCAGCTTAGAGCGGTAGTTGGTCTGCGTGGTCTAGATTCTCATTTTCTGTACAACCTTGTTCACAATCTCCAGTCCTCACTTTATTTCCTGAGGAATGGTCCCCAGTTCAGAATGCCTAGTTTGTTTTAATCCACCAAAGGCCCACTCCTGGGGAGCAGAAGTGAAGAGTATCTTTACTGTGCATGCCAGCCCTTCTCCCTTCGCCATAAGTCATCCTGAACCCACAGGAGGAGAGGAAACCCCTATCTAAATTGCCTAAAATTACTACGTGGGGAGAGGAGCAAATGACAGAATAATGAGAACGCAGGTTGGTTAGGAGGATTTGTTGTTTAAACACCACTTCCAGGAGGCTGAATTATGGTAGTCTGTTACAGTCCAGGGGAGCAAGAATCTGTGGTTTGAAAGAACTCTGGGCTTCAGAGGTTCTTTCTTACTGTTTGAAGAGATTTGCACTATGTTCAGTACATTAAAAGAACACCCTGGCAACTTGCAGAAGCCCAGGTTTCTAGCCAGACCATGAGATTCTTTAAGCCTCGGCTTTCTCAAGTACAAAATAAGAATCATGGCACTTCTGACCCGGGTGCTAAAACAGTTATGGTAGGATCCATTTTCTTTAATTTTCTCTTTGTTTTGCTCCCTATTTGCCTCATTAGACCTCTGCAGGTCACCCAATGCAAAAGCCTGAGGGTTTTGGTGCACTAAAATAGTGCTGGGGATAATCTGGGCCATCCAGGAAGGTTCAGAGGCCTCCAAGGATGTACCTGGTGATGCTCTGGGCACCATGTGGTACTGGGGATCAAACCAGGGTCAGCCAAATGCAAGACATGCACCTTAGCCTAACTAACCCTCTGGTCTGACTGAGGATTCATTTTCGTGTACTATCAGAGGCGTTATGAGTTGTTTAAGATTACAAGCACCTACAGCTTATTATTAAGGTGCTATTGAATTTCAACTCTGAAGAAGTATGCATCAATGGACAGACTCTTAGGTGAAAATCTGCATAGATGCTTAAAGCATAGAGGTTTCTTTTTTCAGGAATGCCACAAAGGGTTAATAATTACCTCTAAAACCCTGAAGACCTGCCCTGCTGGGTGATGACAACCCTGCTTTGAACCTGTTTTGTATTTCCTTTTCCAGATAAATAAGGCTGTGTACTCATTAACTCCTTCCTTGAAATATTGTTGTCAAATAGGATTGGAGCAGAAGGCAAGAGAGTAAGGTAATGAGTATTCAGCAGTAGACTATGAAAAAGAGACAATTGTGAAGATTTCTCTGCTCCCCCATTCTGGTAGTTTACTTTGGTAGAAGTGGCCAGAGGTATGTTTGATGATACATCCCTGGCTATTGTAATATCATTAATGATCAAGAAAAGCCAAGTTGAAGATGCAGCCTTTTACAGAAAGAGTCATTAATGTCTGATGGGGTATGGTGCAGCCAGCAGGTCAACCTATAAGACGAGTGCATCAGAAACCTGATGGTGCCTTCAGACTTGTAGATACCCCAAACCTGCTGCCGTGCCTTTGGCCAGACCCCAACAACTTGGTGCCAAGTTTACCAAGAAAGTAAATGGTTTGTGAGAGAAACACCCACAAACCACTCCGGTTCAACTATATAATTGGAGGCAAGGCCTCTCTGGTTCCTGATCAAACTGCTTAACAGCCA